TTGTTGTTGCTGTGTTGTTTTTGTTGTTGTTATATAATAATGATAATAATATAATAATAATAATAATAATAATAATATTAATTATTATTATTATTATCTTTATCTTATCATTATCATTATCATTATCATTATCATTATCATTATCATTATCATTATCATATCATTATCATTATCATTATCATTATCATTATCATTATCATTATCATTATCATTATCATTATCATTATCATTTCTTATCATTATCATTACATTATCATTATCATATATCATTATCATTATCATTATTATTATTATTATTATTATTATCATTATTATTATTATTATTATTATTATCATTATCATATCACTATTATTATTATCATCATTATCATTATCATTATTATTATGATCATTGTTACATTACACTTAGGATGACGATAATGATGATAATAATGATTATCATTACATGATAGTAACAATATATAATAATCTAATAATAATGATAATAGTAATAATGACATGATAATAATAATTATCATTATTATCATTATACACCATCATTATCATCATCCTATCATCATCATCACCATCATCATCTTTGTTATTACTTTTTGTTTTATGATCATTATCGTCATCATGAAATTATTATAATTATTATTATTGTTATCATTATTATGATGATTATTATTATTATCATTATTATTACTATATTATATTATAATTATTATTATTGTTATTATTATTATATACTATCATAATCATTATCGTTATTATCATTATCACTGTTGTCATTATTATTATCTATGCATATCATCATTATTATTATTACTGTTACTATTATTATCATCATTATCGCCATCATTGTTATTATCATTATCATCATTAATATTACTATTATTATTTCTATTATCATAATTATTAGAATAACAATAATGGTGACTATTTTAGATATTATCATCATCATCATCATCATTATTATCGTTATCATTATTGTCAATATCACTATCCTATTCGTATCATTATCATCATCATTATTATCATCATCAAATATCATTGTCATTATATTGAACAGTATTGTCATTATATCATTAGTATTACTGCCATTATCATTGTCGTTGTATATTATCATTATAATAATTATTTTCAATATCATCATAATCATTGTCACGATCATCAATGACATTATCATTATTGTCATGATCATCATCATCGTTATCATTATCATCATGATTATTAACGTCATTATCATCATCTTATTATTGGTATCCGTATTATTATCCTTACTATCATCTATATCATTACCACTACTATGACATCGTGCCACATTAATCCTATTAATCCTGTTGACTGATTTATGTTGATACGCATTTTGCTCTTGTCGCATTTTGTCATAGTCGCCCCTTTTAATTAGTGGTTTTCTTTGATCGCCAATTTTCACCGTTTATTTTTTAGGCCTTTTAGGATTTTAACATCTCACTTAATCACAAAGTCTCAAATTTCCTCCAATAGTTTTAGAAATATGGACGACGTTTTACAAGGCTAGCATCTTATTTTGAGCGTCTTTGCTTTATTCCTCTGCGACCTATTTCGTATTTTTAATATCTCTTCTTTATGGTGATATGATATCTCCCTTTGGCATAATGGCAGTCGTTCGAAACCCAATTAATGTGTTATATTTGCATCTCTGGCCTCAGGAGATGGCTCTTCGCTTTCAATGAGCAACGTTGTGCAATCCATGTAAGAATGTGAAGGTTCAATTCTGAGGTCCTGTCAGTTCTTTGAAATGGATGTTATATATGAATTACTTATTAATCAAACTGGCCACTTCAATTTTCATGAAGAGGGAGCGTACATGATACTTCTCTTCAGTGTGACTGTTTATCCTGTATTTTTTTTCATTTTGTCCTTTATAGTGCAAAGATATCCAATTTGGAGCTTTAGAGTTTTATCTCAAGGTTATATTCCATTCCGTATTCTCTTATTCTTGTACTTTTGATTATAGGCCATAATACAATAAGTTTCCTGAATGTGTAAATTACACATCTTGTCAGAGTAAAAATCTTCTTGTGGAAGCTGCCCGGCGATTCATCCGAACACAACTTTTTCCATGTAGTCAGGTTCAAATAAAAGGTCAACAGCATTGACAGCTTTCTCTTTTATTGGTGCACTCCACATCTGGTAACACTGTCCAAAGTAAGGTTGACAAGAACTATATTGCTGCGCCACAGGTAGCAGTCGGTCCATGATCATGTCAAATGTGATGTTAGCATTATGAAAGGCAGAACAAAAATCTGACAAATATAATTCAGTAACAGTAACTGTATCAAAAGAAAATATAACATTTTTAGAATAA